GAGGTACAGTCATGACTATAAAATGGCCTCTGCCCTTGAGAAGCTTGCAGACAAGAAGAAAGATTTTCAGTCTATATTGTTCTCTGGCTGCACATCTATCTTTAGGGACCCTGCATGAGATAAAGCAGGGAATGTGATTTATAGTGATTCTCCTGACATTTCCTGGTCTTTAATGGATCCACAAGATAATTTCCAGGACAGAAAGGCTTCTCTTGGCCTTCATGCAGTAGCATTGATGTGGCTTTCTTGGAGGCTCAGATAGCTATCTAGAAGGAGATATTCCAAGTTACATGCCTGATGATCATCCTCAATTGAGTTGAGAGGCATGTACCAAGTCTACTTTATTACAGGTTAAAGGTTATGCTTTCTCCACCATTACAGAATCATTTACACAGAATCATTTTACTCAGACCAATTGCCTGCCAAATACAATGACTGAGACTGACTGATCTGAGCAGAAATTATGGTCTATAATGGTTTTTCTGCTTCGTGTGCAGAAACAGCCTCCAGCTGGATCTAGTTGAGCCAGACTAAATTGTGTTTGATTCATCGACTTTGCTGCAATTGGTTTGTATAACTATATGGCAGAGACCCAGAACTGCAATCTTTAATTCACATGGCATTAAAATGATTTGTAGTAAGTTAGATAGAATGAGTCCTTTGGTCTCATTTTTATTTGGTCTGGTCATTTCAAATTATAGGAACACTGTTATACACACATACCACATCAAGGAATTTTAACACTATCTACACATGTTGAGTCATAGTTTCATCTTTAGAAAATATTTTATCTAAAGTTTATTTTGCCCATGAGTTTATAATAGTTATGTATTAATTAATGGTGTGATCATTACATGCCATATATTATTTTGTGTGGTTTTCAATAATTAGCTCTTTAAATCTCACATAAAATCTCAACAGACTAGTTACTATTATCATCACCCTTATGAACAGCTGATGGCACTGGGATTGGAGAGGTTAAGTAACCTGCCTAACGTCATACAGATACTAAGTAGTAGCTGGGATTTGAGGTCAAGCAGTTGGAGTCAATGATTAGTGCTGTTACCCATTCACCTTGTTTTTCCTCCCTTCCTTCCTTCTTCCTTCCTTCTTAATTCAACAAAAATTTCTAGATTTCATATTCTATTTATGCACTTGAACCCAAAAAGCGTGTATCTCAGTTAAAGACCTATAGATAGGTGAGGAAAATAATTTTATGTAAATAAAATTTACATAAAAATATGGTGAATACCCAATAGATTAGAATACCATTCTAACATAAAGCTCTAATATTGCATGAGTTACTACAGAATTAGAACAACATCATCTCTATGAGGTCATGTTTAATGTCAGATCTCTTCACTACTCTATTTCCAGACTGAGAACACCACTTTAAACTTGTAAAGTGAATCACTGAAAGCAGTATCACAAAGGAGATGATATTTGACTTGTCCCTGGCCTATAGTAAATCCTCAGAAGTGCCAAAAAGTATCTAACTTAATTATCGAACATTTATCTAGTATTGTGCTTTATCATGTGGGAAGTATTTTTTTAACTACTTTGCAAATATGAACATAAATAATCCTTATAACTATCATGTGAGTCTGCAGAGAAGCTGAGTAATTTGCTGCAGCTAGTGGCAGAGCCAGGACTCAAGCATGTGCAGTCCTCCTGCTCCAGGATCTAGGCTCCCAACCATGACCCTATGCTTCCTAAGAGTGCCAGGAGCTTCAGCACATTCTCCGGTGGCTTAATACACATTTCTCTCTCTTTCTAAATGTTCTGTACTTTTGTCGTGATATATGTAAAGAAGTATTTTCATCTCCATTTCATTAAAGATAGAGAATTCATGTTTTGGGGATATAATTTATATAAATACAAGAAAACAAGTTTTATTTGGCTTTTGACAAACTCCTGTCACAGTTGTACATGCACACATGCACGCAGTACGGCTGTATGTGCTCTGGGATTTTTGGTTCTTTTAGTCCCACCTGGCTCTCATCTATCCCTGCTTGTAATTTTTCAGCTTGCCCATTCCTATTTCCACTTGCAACTTCATA